TCTCTCTCTCTCTCTCTCTCTCTCTCTCTCTCTCTCTCTTATGAATTATGAGAACTCAGGGTATTAAAATGTGGAGGATGCATGATATCAGATGCTGGGATGAACTTTGTGTCTGGTAAAATTCATCACCCATAAATGTAAAACACTAAAACCTCAAACTCTTAGATGTCGTTGAATATATGTATAAGAAGATTAATAAAATAATAAGAACTTAAATCATTATTTAATTTTCACACAAACGCTTATTACACATATTGAACACATTTTTCATTATTTCCATAATATTTTATCTACTCAAGGCTGTAATTTCTATCCCTTAAATTGTGCATTTATCAATGAGCATTATTCATGCAACCAATCATGTGCAAGTATAGGTGGGATTTCTGTTTTAATTGGTTGGATTTCAGTGTAATGATCTATTGATGAGTCTATGAATACTGGAGGAGAAAGATCAATGGAGCAGAAATGAGCAGGGAATCCTAGTCTGGAATGATTGACAGCTCTCAGCTAACATGTCTCTGACTTCCCAGTACTTGCATTTAATAAATTATTGTATTAGAAATGAAGGGATGCCCCTTTTCACATTTGTGCACAAATATTGATTAATAAGTAAACTAAAGAGAAATCCATCTGATCTGTGTGTGTGTGTGCATGTGTGTGTGTGTGTGTGTGTGTAGTGAGGCATCCAATTGTGATGAAAAATTTGAATGTTAAGTACATCGACAAGACATTGAGTGAATTGCAGTTTAAAATGTTTTAGTAAAGTGACTATCAGATTTCTTTCACAGATATCTTACATATTTGTGTTTGAAAATGTATCACACAGTTGAGTAAGTTCCAGCTATTACAATACTGACAATAAACAAAGCTTTTACTAATGCTTGATTCAACTTCAGTTGATTTCTAAATTTTAGACGTTTGCGCTAGATAACTGAACTACTTGTTAACGTTCAAATGTTAAATATAGGCTATATAAAAAGTAGTTTAATAATAACTTTATATATAAAATCTATTTTAACTTGTGTATCGTGTAATTTTTTCACTTTCATTCTGATGCACTGAACAGCTTTACATGACTCCAGATTTGTGTATGAATCTGACTGGTTCCTTACAAACATTGTGATATTTATCTTGTACCATTATTATGAACATTCATGGATAGTTGGTGAAGACGAATCTAGGATGGTAACAACACGCGCACACACACACATATACACACACACACACACACACACATATATATATATATATATATATATATCAATGGTGACTATCAAATGTTCGGATACAAACATTTTTCAAAATATCTTCTTTTGTGTTCAACAGAAGAAAGAAACTCATACAGGTTTGGAACAAGTGGAGGGTGAGTAAATGATGACAGAATTTTCATTCTAAGTGAATTAATCATTTTAGAAATGTTATCAGTATAATGTACAGAAGACTTAATTTATAGTATTATTATTATTATTAAATATGTAGCAAAATCTTCACACATGGTTACAGAAGGATGATTTAACAAATTGTAAGATTAATTATTTAAAATAAAAATAAAAAATATAAAAAAGCACTCTGGGATTGTTACCATTTTAATTAATACATTTTTTTAAAATAAAATAATTGTCTTTCAGGGTGTTTTTGTCTTTTTGTATATACCTGAATGTTACTCATTAGAATCTCACGATGACCTGACAGGTGCGTTTATTGCGTTTATTCAATTTATTAGATATGGATCCTATTTTAACTTTCTCTGGAGCCACTATGTACAGAATTAACAGAATTAATACATTAAAACTATCAACCGCTTGTGTTAATTTCTGTTGTTCCATCCGTTGTGGTGCTTTCTGACGTTGTGGTCTCCGTTGTTGTACTTTATGAAGTTGTGGTACCGGTGGGGGTGCTTTCTGTCATTGTAGTGCTTTCCGATGATGTTATCTCAGTTGTGGTGCTTCCTGTTGTTGTAGTGTCTGCTGTTGTATTTTCTGAAGTTGCGGTGCCAGTGGTTGTACTTTCTGTTGTTGTCTCCATTATGGTGCTTTCTGTCATGATATAATAGTAAAACATTAACCAACGTTTGTTTAGCATTTTTAATACATAAAATGCAGCACATATTGCTTAAAAGAAAAAAAAAAAAAGAAAAACTACAAACAAAAATAAAAACGTTCCACACTGACACTGCAACTTCACACAGCAATGAATACTGATATCATTATACTAAAAACATATTTTTAAAATACTTTTCTTGACTTGTGTTTTGAAAATCTGAAAGATTGAAGCCTGTCTAATATAAATTGGTTGACAGTTCCAAATGTTGGGGTATAGTGGCTAAAAGAAGCACCAGAGATTCACTTAGGATTTATTGTATAGTTTGCCAAAATAACTATGATTTTGAACATATTAACATAAAAATCAATCCTTTCTTGAACTGGCAACCAGTATAATCGTATTAAAACTATTAATATGGTATCTCCTTCATTTCATTAGTACGTTGACTGCTGCATTTTGTATCAATTGCAGCTTAGCTACATATAGCATATGTGTATATGTGATATAGCATTACAGTAATCGTGATGAGCAAAAACAATAAATGAAGTTTTTGTCACTTGATTAATGCGAGACTATTACACCTAGTTTTTTTAGTTCTATCTTAGTTTGTAGAATAAAGGTGCATAATCCAGCTTCTATCCTTCCTCATTCATGCTCAGTGCCCTCAATAAAAGTTTCAGTTTTATCTTCATGCAACAGTGTCTCTGAAATCAACTGAAATGTATAATTGTATATCATCAGCATAAAAATGTTAATTCATCCCATGTTTCTGAGTTATACTGACCAGAAGTATAACGTATAATGAAAATAAAAGTAGCCAAAGAATTGATTCTTCAGAAACATCATACAGTATTTAATATTTATTTGATACATAGTCACCTATATTAATAAATTATTACCTTTCTGCAATATATGTCTTGAACCGATTTAGAACATTACCGGAGAGACCAATTTCCAGTCTATTAAGTAAAATTAAATGATCATGTGTCAAATGCTGCATTTAGGTCCAAGAGGACTAAGACTGATGCATTGCTCATATTGGTTTTTATCTCAAATGATTTACTACCTTAAATGTATTTAGTTACTTAAAAAGTATATGTTAGAAATAGGTCTGAGAATATTACAGAGAAAGCAATGGAGGTTTTTTTTTTACCATAATTGTCAGCTGTAAAATTTAAAGCACTGGAGAAATGTCTCAGGTTACTTATGTAACCATGGTTCCCTGAGTAGGGAACGAGACACTGC